ATATCAAGTTCTAATTAGGAGCTCAGTATAATGACATAAAATGTTCCCTAAATGAACAGGTAGAGACTCGGTGGTCTAGCGGTTTAGCTTGACAATCACAATGCTTTACTTCCGATGTTCGCGGGTTTAATTCCTTGCAAAATAAAAACGTTTGTATTATGAGTATGATTGTGTTTATTAATCTGTGTATTTTCTATATATTTATGTAATAAAAAATATGTCTAAATATTTCTATAGTTGTCTAGTATATCCATAACAGAAGCTCTGTATAACTTGGGACTAGATGGCGCTGTGTGAATGAACCACGATTATTATTATTATATCGTAAATGATACGTGACAAATAGACATAATGCAGGAAAGAGACGGTTCTATGATGTTCATACTGTTTATTGAAATAGCATTTTTCAATTTTTTTCCTTTTCACGCAACTTTCCAAATCATACATTTATTTATCCCTTTAATCCCACATCTTACATATCCTGGAAACTAGTAATATCTCCATTCTCATTCTTATATCCATAATATGGACGTATCAAATCTAAAAAAAAACAAGAATGCAAGTGTGAATTATGCTCATTTATTCAATACCAGTTACAGCTCTCAACTTCGTCTTCGTATTTCAATTGTAAATTATTTCACGAGAAAGTAATAGCGGAATAAAAGGAATGCTGTGACCGTAGAGTCGTTTATATACACTAGTGTCTCGCCCCAGCTTCGTACTGCTGTTAAATATTGTATTGTAATTCCCATATTTCTTATAAATATAAAACGGCCAATTATTCTCACTGATAATGTAGCTTTTTATAAGTGATAGATTTTCTATTACTTTCGGTAGAAATTTGATAACCAATAGAGAAACTCGTAACGCTTCCAGTAGAGGTAGTCAGGTTTCCACACTGAATTTTTGTGGTTTCACACATGCTAATGGTAGCGGAAACGAAATAAATATATTAATTAATGAAATGGACTCACCACAATAACACCTTTTTTACCTAATTCGATAAATTATACAAAGCTTTTTTAACAGTTAAGATATTTTAAAAAGTAATAAAAAGAACTATTTTATACCATCATTTTATCTCGTATGAGGTAGCCAGAATCATTGACAAATAATGGCATTGTGGTGAACGCAACACTAAACCTAGGTTACCCTTAACCCTTCCGTATTTCGTACACCGAAAAATCGATCAAAAATATAAATTGACAAACAATTTTTTTTCGTTTCGGCCAGATTTGAACACGCGACCTTTTGGGTTTAAGACATTTAAGTAAAACACTAAGAGCATATTACGCCGACCCCAAATAAATGGGATGAGGAAGAATCAGATGACGATGACTAAGAGCTCTATGCCGTGGCTCTATCTACAAAAACATATTATTAATCTAAATAATACTAATTTCAACAAATAACGAAATAATACATACAAATGTCTTCACTTCTCATAATTATAGAATTTCGTTATTAAAGAGTCGCGGTTGAAATTCATAACAATTATCAAACATTAACTAGGACGCTCATATCCCCATCAGCTATCGCACAAAAACCTTACGAGTCCTTTAACTCTGTACATGTCAGTTGCATTATAGTTTTTTCCCGGGTCCGGTACCGCGGTCGTGTTGAGCTGATCAGATTAGGCCCGTAACCGGTTCTCAAAAACATCCCGAGGTAAAAAATAACGAAAAAAAACAACACTAATAACAACAAATAACGAGGCGTTCGGACGCGCCGCAGGAATGTGAACGTGTCGATGATGTGTGAGAAATTATATCGATAAACATTTCCGTTTGTGTGTCCGTGACAAAATTCGCTAAGTATTTGATTTGGATGGACGGTGCCAATAACAGAAAGTTAAGTAGAAAATCGTGTTTAGAGCTGGGAAAATAATGATTGGAAATATTCGTTAGTAGGTACAATTTACAAGTTAAAGTAGCTTTTTGGGGTCATAAAATGAAATTATTTAATTGCGCAATATTAATAGAATAAATTGTTAAGAAAAAGTAATTACTCATCCAACAAGGCACGCAATGATGTCCATCGAATTTCATAACCGATACATATAATTGTTTTTATACACAACAAATTCTTATATGTTATAAATGTCGCTAAAAAACATAAATAAATAATATTTTTAGGGTATCAGACTCACTTTAAATGATATTCTAAGATGATGACAAACTTATTTCTGATATTTAGCGACTATAAAATTGAACTGAACCTCAATGTCTTTACCAAGGGGTTTAATTTTAATAGATTTTAATTAGTTCCAAATCCAAATCTATAAATATTAATTTTAATATATTTGCGAATTTCAAGGACATTCATATGCATTTGCATACGAATATTATCAATAATAATCTAGATTACTTTATCTATTTATCCGTGACGTAAATGTAAATAAAGGATAAATAAATAAAGCAACAGCGAACAAGTTCAGTTTCCTTATATGTATATATTATATATATTTTCAATCGACGTTGAAATTTGAATACAATAAAACTACATGACACGTCGATTATTATACTACTGCATATTTATCACACTGAGATGCAGACAGGATCATTGGACAAACATTCCACGCGCTAAGAAAGCAATCTCGACAATGCAACTTCTTGAAATAATAAATGTACATGTAGATTATATTTAATTGTATTTTAATTTCTACAAATATTTACTTAACATTAATTCGAAATTTTTATAAAGAAATATTCCTAGCAAAAACGGCCTTTCGTTATTAGTAAGTAAATTCTTATAATACTTCTTTACTAAAGCCTTTACTAATTTTTCCTATCTCAATCAAGTTTTCTAATACTATACAGAAAAAAGAAAAAAGTGTAGATTTCTTTCTTTTTGGACCAGAATAACCAACTGTGAAAATAATACTTAATACTATCCATAATAGTTGTAGTAACAAAGACAATTCTACCAATAAGCATATCCACTTCAAGCTAAGCAATAACACCTAATAGAAAAAAAATATCGATAAAATCTCAGATAACGCCCAACACTAGCCAGAGGTGGAGCCAGATGAAATTATACGAAAATATTGTAACGATAGTGACAGATGATTATAAGCTGGCGATAAAACATACATAATTCTCACGTAATGGCCTCGAGCCGAGCCCCGGCATTAACTCCGGCCCGATAATTCCCACCTATCGTGCTCACTTCCACGGAAATCAATTTCACATCACTAGCGGTTTACGCGTAAGTGTCTGTAAGTGCTATTCGGAAAAACTGTTTCATTGTAAACGTGACTTTGGTATTTTTAATTTATTCGTACACATATGGGAACCAAACATACGTCAGTTCAGAAGGACACTTACTTGTACAATAGCGAATGGTAAAGAAGGTAACGGCCCTCTTTATGAGGAGTGGTTGTCATTATATAATATATAGGACAACGTCACCTCACGTCACGTAAACTACGGAGTATGGAGATATAGCATAATATTCTTTTTGAATGGCAACGAATGATGGTTCACATGATGACGAGGGATGCCACACAGCACCAGGTAGACCATGACCTTTTTTGAGAGAATATAATAATATCACAGATCGTATGTTGTCGCTCTAACTGCGAGGCGTCCGACGCTACGTTTGCTAATTCGCGATTTCTATTCTATATTCTATTCACTACCATATCTCACCCTTCAAACCAAAACAACTTGCAAAACATACTGTTAGCTGTAGACGTAAGTGATATAAAGGTATCAACGCATTTTACTTTGTACATTCCACCTCTGGTTGAATGAAGTATTTTCTATTCTATTCTATTCACTACCATACCTCACCCTTCAAACCAAAACATTGCTTCCAAAGGAAACTGTTAGCTGTAGACGTAAGTGCCATAACGATATCCAGGCATTTGACTTTGTACGTACATTCTACTTCTGGTTGAATGAAGAATTTTTTATTCTATTCGCTGCCATATCGCACCCTTATTCCCATTTCCCAATATGGGTTAACTGCCTGACCTCATGCTCATCTTATCAAGCTCAACTGGTACCCCGTCAGCGTTAACCGTTAGCGCAGGCGAGTGCACCATTCCATTATCATCCATTAAAAAACCAAAACAACCAGCAAAACAAACTGTTAGCTGTAGACGTAAGTGACTTAAAGGTATCAATGCATTTAACTTTGCACTCTCTACCTTTGATAATGAAGTTATGAAACTTTCAAAACAGCGGGAACTGTTTATTAATAACTAATGATATTGAATTTTATGTTTGTGCGATTAATTTAATTTTGATTATTGAATTAAATTGATATTTTTCCTTTTGACATATTGGGTCACAGTAACCATCATAGGGTTATGACCTTAAAAATTTCGACTTACAATCAATTTGATTTGATAAATCACTTAGCAACTCCTAAATGATGGATTAAAAGTATAATTCTGACATCGAGACTGAGTAAGTACACAAGTAGTAAGTAATTAAGGCGTGTTTACACTAATACATAGTTGAATAAAAAAAAATTGTTACTTCATCCTTCAGTATGAATTAGTTACAAAATTATTAATAAGCTTTATCGGGTCAACAAAAAAGAATTATTAATAAAGTATTTTGTATCTGGTAGCATTTACGACATCAATTACTATACTCCAGTAAACTTAGTCCGAACGTTTAGATTTAAATACATTTATTTGCCATACAATCATTCGTTTTAAGACCCGATTAACTATATAAATGTGTACTAAATACGACAATTGAAAAATAACACGTAACTAAATGTAGTCAGTCCAAGTAAGTGAAAACTTTATGAATAAATATATAATTTAATAAAGAACTAAATTATAGTGAAACATAAGCTTGCAAGATGAATTTGTCAGTTGGGGCTAATATTAAAATCATAAGGAGCAGACTACTCACATCATACACAACATAAATATTTAGTACACTTAGTTCATTCATAAAGTTCTTACTTACAGAAAAAAAATTAAGAGGCTATCACGTCTATTTTTTCTATTTATATTGGTAAATAAAAATGCGACTTACCGAAAACAGGACTTAAGTCCGACTTTACCGATAATTTACCGGAATAAGGCTCGCCGGACTTCTCCTGAAACAAACAAAACATATACTGTAATACAAATGTAAAACTACACACGGTGCTGCTCGCCAGTTCTCTTACTTGAACTCGGCTTGACAGTCTAGATATAAAAAACTTTGATCACGGCATAACTTGATAACAACTTAATCTATTTTTTCTTTCCAGTTCTTACAAAATTAAATATTAACAAAATGCAACTGAAAATTGGAAAACTAGAAATAACTTAGAAACTACTTCTACTGCATGTGTTTTTAAATACGCGCATTTAATAAAAATGTCTGTCTGCGTAATCAATAAAATAGACATATATATTATATTAATTGTTAAATTAATTAAAATAATGCTAAATACATTAAATTAATTATGTGCAAATGTAATTGTTACGTAATAATTCATATCAATGTTTTATTACGCATTTTATAGTTATATTTACATTATTTTATTAATACATAGAAATAGTAATGTGTATATCTATATACTATATTTAAATAAAGATTTAGTTATACCTAATTATTGTAGCAAAATAAAATAATTTTTGTGGTAAATTGGTAAAACAATATTATGTACTTATATTCTTTCGGCACAGTACGTCATCTTCTTCCATTGATTCTTATTATGATAATAATCTCCGTCATAACTGAGCTTAATATCCTTTTATACATATCATCTTTCACACAATCCATTCATATTTTTTTCTTATCATCCTATCGCTTTCCATCCATCCACGTTCATAAGTATTAAGAGATTTTATTACTGTAAATGCTCAATGCTATTCGTTTAATAGACATTAAACAATTATAAATTAATATTTTTTTTACAATTGTTTAATAAACATATATGCAATTGTTGTTCCTAAATAAAAATATATTTTTACAGACTGTAGACATCATTGCTAACTCAGAGAGCATCGGGGCTTAGTGATCCACTACACCGATTAAGATCGATGGGTCGTGAGTTCACGTCTTATGGCCGATGTCGTAAAACTTTGTCATTTGTATTGCTAGTTTTTCAGTAATTGAAATAATGCACTAGTTATAACAATAAGCACACTATTCCATATTCATCCAATAAAACCCTTTGATTACCCTATCTGAGATAACAGTCGTGAAGGTATTATATAATAAATGCGAAAGGATTAAAACAAAGCAACAAATGTATCTCGTAAAACAAAAATGTAGGTTACTTCCGCTGTGATTAATCCAAAAACGATATATCCTCAATGTGCAACTATTATGGAACCAATAGAGCGTTTGAAATTCCGACACCTCGTCGTTATTGTTTGGGGACTATTCTGTGATCACTCGACAATCTTACATTTTCGAGTGTTATTTCATAAGTTATCATTCGCTATCCTTTGGGGTCGCCGTAATATATTATTCGACTCTTTTAGCATCTCGTTATTTAGTCCAAAGTCCATTCATCTCTTTTCTGCCTTATATTATCTTTTTGTAATTTCTGTAACGTGTAAGGTATAAATAAAATATCTATTATTTTATACCTTTATGAGCTACCGATATAGCTATTCCAGACAACCTTTCTCTAAATAAGAATACATGCAATGATAATTACATCTATTCTTTTTAGAGAAATATCCATACTTAAATAAAAAAATACAGAATTATACATTAATTTAAAAAGTATAAATAATAGAGTTTGTATAAAAATAAAAACATTGAAATTATGTCTATCTAAAACATTTCTAACGTTTCTATTGACCACAGAATATACCCTCGAATACTTGTGTCTATAGTGGGGTCGTAATTGGATGAGTCCGAATCAGTTTACCCCACTCGGACGTGTTTACCCCAAATCAATGATAACGGATTTCCCCAATTTAACGGTAATTTTTTAAGCGAGATTACGTAAGCGTACCTGTTTATATGTTCAAATTCCAACTTTGTGTAACATATTTTAATATAGGGATATACTTATTATGGAAATATTCTCGTAAATTCCAGAATAATCTTTGCTCATGTTTCACAAGGATTTATACACGAAATTATAAATTATTTTAAAATTGGGTTGATATTTAAAGAGAATTATAAAAACGCACAAGCAGATTGCGTGAGAAAGAAATAGAAGAGTTGTTATCGTTAATTAAGATCCACAATACGACATTTCAACGATCATATCAAAATCACGCAAATATATATAAAGTAACAACAAAATCGATTCAGTATAAACTCAAAAAGAATAATTAAGAATTAAAAAACTAAATAAACCTTACGATGGATTGAACCAAAATATGTAACTAACTGATAATAGCAAATACTATATTTGTTTATTAATATACATTAGTTAAAGGAGTATTAATACGAATAATTTTATGGTAAACAATGTATTATTCTCTAAACTCTCTCTTTAAAAATAAGTACTATATTTGTTTGTTTTGACATGACACTGGACTCACGACATTTTTAAAGCGGGAGCTTATTACTGAGCTCCGGTGACCCACCCACATTCACCATTAAGCAGGACCATTCCATCATCATCCATAAAAAATCTTTTAATGTATTTTCACAGGTAATTCGAGCAATGGATTCGAATGCATTACAAGCTGTGAGAACAAGTCCTCCTGCGCACGAAGTCACTCCTACATTAATGACATTAATGACGGTGCCCGACGCATCGACAATGTAGGGTTGGCAGCGATAACAAAAATAGAATCGACCAAGCAGTGAACCTGTTAGAAATGTAGTGTTCCGTACATGTTCCAAGTCTATAATTTTTATAATAGATTCTCACAATCAACATGAAGGTCCATCTGAATGTGAATTGCAATCATCGTCTATCTGTGTAAGTACATGCATCGCAAACATCATGATTTTTGTAGCACAGGGGACAAACGTGCTTGCGACTCGCCTGATGGTAAGTGATTACCGCCATCTATGAACACCTGGTCTAATACCATTACTGGAATGGGACATCCGTGATACCACGTATCACAGAAATGACGTCATTATCTGACGCACCTTTCTCATGGGATAGTACCTCTCGCATAAGGTAATAGTCCACAAGGTATCGAATTCAAATTATGCCTATATTTATAATAATATAAAGTGATTAATTTTGCATTTTAGTTATCGTTACTGAACTTTCTTATGACTTTTCCCTGCCTAATATTATATGAGATAAAAAAAGTCTGTAGATTTTATCTCGAGGACGGACAGAACAATGCTATTGAAAAAAAGCAGAAGCCGAAAATAGCCTGTAATGTTTAGCAAGTCTAAATTGCTGTGTTAGACTGACACATTACAAATTTTAGTAGTTCGTTTTATCAATTTTGCTTCGGAACCCTAATAATGAGTTGCAGTATGCAGTAACAGGTTTATAGCTAGTTAGGTGAAAATATATGCGTAATACAGGAAATTCATAAATTTGATGGTAAATAAATTTTAAGACACACGATCAGGTTCATGATAATGACAGTGCTAAACCAACATATAATGCATTCAGGGTTGCCACCAACGTTCTTCTAATTTCAATATTTATTTGTTTTCTATGTATTAAAACGGTCAATAGGTTGAAAATAATTTCACACAAACTGAATCATGACTAAGATTGTATATATTGTTCTGGGTGTTATGTAACGTATATTATAAATTATTTAAAAAAAAAGTATTTAAGTATTTATATTAGTTGTCTAATAGCCATTAATGAAGTTCAACTTAGCTTACAACTAGATGGCGCTGTGTGAATTATCCAAGTTTATTATTATTATAACTCTCCACTTTCCCAATACACTCGACAACCCTCAATCTTAGTGCCACTACAAACGGTCAATGGAGCGGACAGTTCCCGCTTGCGGGCACCAATTACAGTGCCTGACCCTCGAGGCAATTTCCTGATTCCTATCAATTACCTCACCTTGTTTAGTGAAGTGACAACCCTGGCTTTGTGGCGCGCCAGGGTTTTTTGTGGGCGAACGTTGATTAAATTCTTGTTACAGACCACTTTTTTTTGTTCTTGACATCTCGATGATTTAATATTATGTCATAACACGTTATATTGAACGTTGTATAAAAATTAATTAGGGGCATCCTTTATGGCGTCTTCGGTAAGTGTTATTATATTTTAAAATAACGATTGTTTCTTAGAGTGATGACAGGGTAAGTAGAGGTAAAATAGTTTTCAGAAGGTAATGCAAAGGTGTCATAGACATGTCATTTTTTCAGGTAAAAGATAGCGTATATGATACGAACTATTTTTTTACATAATTCATTAAAATCTGATGAGCCGCTTAGATGTTAACAAACAGACAGATACATTCACATATATAATATTAATATGAATTCTATTAATTTAGATAAACAAATATGTATCATTTTTTTATATTTTTTTATGTGTCATATATTATAAGATATATATAATTGAGAATACAAACCAATCACCATGTAACTCAAAATCATAAGTATCAACCTAATAAACTCACATATATGTACAAGATAGTAAAAAGCAAATGAAATTACATATTACGTATAAAAAATAACCATTTCAACCCTTTGACATATGTATGTCTGGTAGTCTAGATCTCATGATAGAAGTAATTAAGTCCCTGCGGCGCAGTTAATTGATGTTCAGCGTGTCATAAGATCGCGGGTTCGATATTCGAACAAAAAGACAGTTAATTTACATTAACTGCGGTGGTTAATTCGAGACTGTCAAGATCGAGTGCGGGATACGATTTCCGTGGCGATGTGTTAAGTGTGAAATTGATATATGTGTATAAACTAACAAGACTTGTATTAAATAAATCTACAATCTGCGAGTTGTACTAAGCAAACATGCTGTTTACAGACGAAAACAGTGTATTTGTTACACATTAGAAGATTATATAGTTTATTTAAAATTAGTTCTAAATCACTCAATTTTAGTACAGTTTTCATTGTCATCAGAATTTTGTCCGAAAATGATTATGCACTCACTGGCTGTTTCCCGCAATTTCGTTCGTGTACTTCCTTTTAATTTTATAAATATTTTTTCATCAATTTAGTCTAAACTGCTCCTTA